GTGCAGTCGTTTGCTACTGGCTTCCTCACCAAGCCCCATGTCGTCCAGCCTCATGGCCCTCGGTCCTGTTCCCAGGCAAATGCAGTGCCCCCAGCCTTGCTTTTGCCCCGGAGGCCCACCCCCGAGCATCACCTTTCCCTCCTCTGTTTAAAGCCTCCTCACCTGCAAGCCCAGTTACGGTGGCGCCTCCTACCTAAATGTCTGTGGTATGGAAGTCAGATCTCCTCCCGCCTCTTCTTGGCCTCACTCTTAGATGGCTCACCTTACAGTGTAGACATCTGTGAACGTGCCTATGGACTAGAATGAGATCCTCGATTGATTCATCTCCAAATCCCAGCATAGGTCAGGCTCTGAGGAGAGCCCAAGTGGCAAACTGGACTGGAAGCATTTGGGCACACAGCTCACAAGCACACACCTGTGCTCAGATACAAGCCAGGTAGAGAGCTGAGTCTCTGCCATGATAATCCTGTGTAACGAGCTCCCCCATCACAGTGGCTCTGAGCATCCGCTTCCTTTCTATGAATCTGTAGACTGGGTGGCTCCGCTCAGGCTGCAGGCTAAGGGAGGGCCGGGCTTCTGTGGGATTGACCAGGTTGGATTCCAGGCTACAGGTTGGCTACTGATCTACTCCCTGTGCCCTTAATCAGAGACCTGCCCGAAGGGGCAGCAGCAATCTGGGGCAAGTAACCCAGCAGGCACATGAGTGACAAGCCAGGTGAGTAGGCCATTTAAAACCTCTGCTCACGTCACATCCATGAATTTCCACTGCTCAAAGCAAGTTTCACAGCCAACCCCCCCATCAATGGCTCAGGGAGGTGTACCTCACCTACCCTAGAGGGAAGGACTGCAGGGTCACAGGGAGGGGGTGAAGAACTGGGAAAGTATTCCTGCCACACTCCCAGAATAAAGGCCATAGGCCATGGCCTCCGTTCACGGTACTGCTGTGCTCCTAGACATACAGACAGGTCCCATCCTTTGATGAGAGGCATGACCTCTGACCTCTCTGCGCTTTAGTTTTCCTGGCAGGAATTTGTGGGTAATAGTAGTACTTTTCTCAGATCATCGCATGAGTTTTAATAGACTGCACGCATGTAAAATGCTCAAGCAATTCTTGATGTTAAGGTATAGCGAGCACCCAGTAAAGGTAACATACTACTGTTATTACAGACCCTCCTCCACTCGCAATGGAGTTACACCCAGAGAAGTTGGAAATATTGTACGTCAAAATGCATTTAATACACCTAACCTACCAGACGTGGCTTAACCTAGCCTATCTGAAACATGCTCAGAACACTTACATCGGCCTACGGTTGGTCAAAATCATCTAACAGAAAGCCTATTTTGTAATAAAGTATTGAATATTGGGAACTGCTCTAATAGTGAAAAACAGGATGGCCGTGTGGGTACTCAAAATACAGTTTCTCCTGAATATGTATTGCTTTCTCACCATTGTAAAGTCAAAACATTGTAAGTTGGGCCAGCAGGTGGTATGGTGGTTGAGACAGCTGGAACACAAATGGCTGATTGCACGGTTCATGTCCCAGGCCCCATGGCTTGAGAAATACCAGGCACAGGGACATAGCATGCATGCCCAAAATCCCAAAAGGGGGGAAAGATGGGGGAGGAGGGATTGTGAC